TTTGGCCAGTTGGAAAAGCACAGGGCATTATTGAAGCCTTGCAGGGACCTTGACCCAGGTTGTCTCTCTATATGCTTACAATCAATTGCACGTGCAATTAACTGTGGGTATACATATTTCATTACAAATCCAGTCACCTCATTAGTGAGCAGAATCAGATCATTAGATATGTAAAACTAGAACTGGTGCCCAGGCTTTATTTTGGGCTCGGAATTGTAGGTACTAGAATGGAATACTTTCAAATTTTAGTTGGAAAAGAGGCTTTCCTATAGTAAGATATGTTTGTGAGTGGTCTTAAATAATAAATAAATTACTTATGAAGGTGCAAGTCTTATGAAAATGAGCTATCCTTCTAGTTCACTCTGGCACAGATTCATGCAGCTGCTGGGCTGTACCTGAACTTTCTGAATGCCTAGATGCAGCAAATAGCAAAAGTCCACAGTTTTCCTCAATCTGTGCAGCATGGAAAGTAGTGAATATTTTCTGCTGAGCTAGTGCCATAGTTAGACTAACCCAGATCTCACTAGTGAGAGAGTGTGCATCTTCAGATGTACTTATTAAATTTCTGTAGGACAATTTCTTTAAAAGGTGATGTAACTAGCCACTTTAAAGTTGAGTCTGATTTATCTTGGGAAGATGGACTTTTCCTTCAGTAGTGAGGTCAATAAATATTTTGCCTTTGGAGTAACTTCCAGACATCATATACATTGTGCCTGTTACATCAACATTTCAAGGAACCACAGCTATTTTTGCAGTAGTCAACATACAGCTAGTCAACAGATCATCCAAAATGGTGGTTGTGGTGAGTCTTGTGGTCAGTTTTGCAGGAGGTAGCCTTGTGCATTTTTCATACTCTGCTACATTGTTGTAGAACTGATCACTCTTTATTTTAAATGTCAAATGCTTAAACCATCATCTAAAATTACTTTTGGACTCTGCAGTGTATTCATGGTTTGCAGGTCAGATTATAAATGTGATGTTTTTCTGTCTACAGGCTGAAGGCTTTACAAAGGTTTCAAAATGCTGCTTTAATCTTTCAAATTCTGGTCCCTTAGGAACTGTGGGCTTCTGGAAAACCTTTATTTTTGCAGCATACACTACAAAGTAATACAGACAAATAATCAGGAGTGGAGCATTTTTCCGCATGTTAGAAAATACTTGACTGACTTTTTAATACAATTAAGTTTGCATAGCTTTTACAGATGTTAACTTTTCACCAATATTTACATGCTATAGTTCACGTACATGCATGTGTATAACGGAGGGAGGATAAACCACATAACAAAAAGAGAAAGTCTGCCTTAAATTTAATTTTGTATATCTGTTGTTTCTGAGTTGCTGCCTTTACACAGTGGGTGTGTGCATGCTTGTGTTATCAGTCAGGCTGCTAACTTGTTAAGAAATTAGAATAATACTTTAGAATCACTTCCTTTGTTTGTCTATGCTCATACAGCTTTCTATTTGCCTGCTTCCAGCTCAGTTTGGGATGTCTGCCAGGATGTTGTGGGTTACTACCTCAACACTGAAATATCCTTCAGTCAGGGCCTAAGCAGAATACATGACAGAGCTGTGTGTGTGTGTGTGTGTGTGTGTGTGTGTGTGTGTGTGTGTGTGTGTGTGTGTGTGTGTAAAATAGCTTCATACATGTAGACAGGAGATAATTTTAGGCTTTCTGGTGTACTTATATGTGGTGTATATTTTGATCAAATGAATCTCTGAATTGAAATTAAACAAGCCAGTACTATTTCAGAAAACATTTCTACTTGTGTTCCTATCTATATCTAAAGTGACTTTTAACATTCAGATGTTTTGTTTTTAGTTTCATTGGAGATTCTCCAAAGAAGAGATGAGCAATAAACAATCAAAGAAAGCTATGAAGGCTAAATTAAGTGCTAGGGATAAGCCAACAGCAGAAGAAAGGCAGGAGTCCACAGTTACAGAGAACGTAAGAAACTTAGAAACACCATTATCTGCAACTGAAAGCATTGACAACAGGAAGGCAATCTCAGATCAACAGCTGGATGATATCACAGACACAGACATGGGAGCTGAAATATTGGGAGACAGAGACATATATATCCATAGCAGTGGGGAAGCAGAAGAAAAGTGGCCTAAAAATTGTGATACTCATCAAAATGAATTGGAAGCATGCCTGAGTCAGGAGGGTATGTCTGATCACTGTGGGGACCATGTAACACATGAAGAAAGTTGTGCTCTAACTACTGATACTTGGGATGGAGGTGATGGGGGAGGGTCCATGGACCTGTGTGGTGATTAATAATTTACATCTTAAGAGTACCAAGAGTTGCAGGTATTTTAGCAAAATAAAGGACGGGTTTAACGAATCATCCTGTCTAATTTCATTGCTCAGTGCAACACTGAATTTAGTATTACCCAATCTTATTCTCTCTCCTATTAACATATACAGACTAATTTAAGATTTGAAATTATTATTGGGCTTGCTTTTGCTTCCACAGAATCTAATGGCAAAAATGCCACTGAAGTTACTGTGGGTGTGAATTGATTATTACTGGCTTTACCTGTTTAAGGTACATTTGAAATATATTATGATTAGCAAGGTGGAAATAAAAACACTTTTTAGGGTTTTAAATCCCTTTGCTAATTTTGATAAAACCAGGCTTATGTCCACTATTTCTATTAGTACAGTGGAAATGCTTTGCTTGATCAAATTTCCTTATGTAATATTTTTATCCAAGTAGAATTACTTTAAAAATGCATTACATCTTATGGTATTTTGTCATTAAGTTTGTATTGTTAAGGAAATGGCATTTTGTCTTCAAGAGGCTGGATGAAGTGGCTGTAGTTGTATTTATCTTAATATATTTACTTGCTGATATGCTCTTTTGGGTTTAGTTAACTCTTTCCAATATTGAAAGCAATAATCAAATCATGAACATTTTAAGAGGAACTGATGGAGAAACAAAATCCTGCTATGAATATGTTGGGCTGTTAAGTAGGCAGTTCCAACATAATGCTGAATTAATCCCATTCTTTTATGATAGCATTATGGATTTTTAGGTTGCTAACCAGCCTTTCTTCAATATTTGTTGGGGTTTCAAGAAAGAGAAGAGCTAAGAATAAGAAAACGGGATGTAGGATGTAATTCAGTAGTTGTACATACTCACTAAAATGAACATGCTCTTCACAACATGCTAGGACTGCAGTTGTATTTTTTCACCATTTTTAATTTAGAATGTGTCACAAGAAAGCTATTTGATTTTTTTTTCCCCTTTTTTTAAGTTCTATCAGGCAAATGTCAGTGGAAGCCACAAATAACCCTGACAAATGCAAGTTGATAATTTAACCCTCCCTTATATTAAAGGTAACTGTTTTTCAGCTGATGTACAAACTTTATTATGTAAAGTGGTAAACATTTTCATGTTTGGAGATATATTAAAATCTTTACAGAAAAATGTATGTGTAATATTTTTTATGATATTTGTATGTATTCAGACCTTTTTCGTTGAATTAAACATGTCAAATTCTGTCTTTCCTTACTCAGCAATCCTAGATGGACCCATACTTGGGAATAGTCAGGGGGTCCTGTAAGGTGTTTATAAATGAATACCTCACTTTACAAAACACAACACTGAAAGAAACACCACTTTCACAAACAATGTAGCTTTTTTTTTTAGGCTGATTTATTCATGCTAATTATCATTACTCTTTTTTCCTCTATGGTATTTTGACTCAATGAAAAGTGTTCTCTAGATGCACATCATATGTGTTCAAACTATTTTTAAACTGTATTCCACATAAAAAAAATTACACAATTTGTAGAAGACTTCAGGGAGGAAAGAGGTATACGATTTCAAAAGCCCATCTGTAATTGGAATAATGGCAGATAGATTTTAATCATTCCATTGCGTGCACAAAAAAAGCTAGTATTTTTTTTCAATAATTGAGAAGTATTGTTGTTGGCTCCAACAGCTTAACTAAATATTAGAAAAACAGGACTGTAAATAATTTTAATTACTTCTGGTATTTTACAATGAATTCTGTACCCTGAGGACAAATTAAAATTCCCATAACCTAAACATTCTTTTGTTTATTTGCTACTCTAACGCAAACTCTGCTCTGGACAGTTAAGAAAAGTGGTTTGCGGATTTTATTGACACTGAATCTTTACAGGGCCTGTTGTAGAGCTGGTCTTAAATTTCAACTGGACAGCTTGTATCTTAAACAGATATATATATTGTTTAAAAAGCACATCAAGTCATCTGTAAAACTGAAGCGCTGCTATATAGCAAACATTTGTGTTAAATAATGCATTTCCATTGAAAGCATTTATTTGATTGTACTTCAGACAAGGTTGTTCCAATTGCATTCTAAATGCTTACAAAGCGAAATAGAAAACTGAATTGGAGGGAGAGAGGCTTTTTACTTTGCAATAGTTACACTTCTGCAGGTAGTTCGGCGTAGCAACAAGAGCTAAGAGTCAGATTCATGATTAAAGCAATGTTCAGCATTAGCTATTGATGCATCAGACCTGGTTAAATAGGTCATTGTCACCTATTTGAAAGAAGTATGGATGAAGGCCTTGTCAGCCTGTGAAAGTTGCCTTGTTTTTTACTAAAACAGTATGATTTAAAACTGATTTAATTGAAGAGATGTACATTTCTGTGTGCTTGTTCTCACTTCTTTGTAGCCTAAATGAACAGAGTTTAGCTTAAGTCTGTAAATAATCCATTTAAACTACTGTAAAATCAATCATGTTTAATCCAAAGTAAGTGCCTGCAAAGAGAGGTGCACTGGTTTAACTACACTGGATTGAAGTTGCATTGTTATTTAAACTGGGGCAACTTTCTCTCTCTCAACTTACTTGATAGCGGAGTCAAGAAATTGCCGCCTCATTATGTACAGTAGTTTTCTTTTTTAAGCTGCATGTTATAACCATTTGCAAGTAGAAGGATGATTACAAAAAAATAGTTCTTCTTCGTGGTTCCTGACTCCTGAATGTTTTTAAACTATTTATTCCAATCTGCCCATCGAGTCTGAGCTTATCCCAGCCTAATACTTTGTGTTTAAACTGTTCCAAATCCTGAACTTCTGCACTATATGCACTCCAAGAAATCTCACAGGAATAGATTTTTTGTTAATAGCACTCAAGGACATGAGAGAGTCTTCCTACCTGTTCTGGAAATTGGCTGAGATCTTATAGATTCATAGAGTCATAGATGTTAGGGTTGGAAGGGACCTCAATAGATCATCGAGTCCGACCCCCTGCATAGGCAGGAAAGAGCGCTGGGTCTAGATGACCCCAGCTAGATGCTTATCTAACCTCCTCTTGAAGACCCCCAGGGTAGGGGAGAGCACCACCTCCCTTGGGAGCCCGTTCCAGACCCTGGCCACTCTAACCGTGAAGAAGTTCTTCCTAATGTCCAGTCTAAATCTGCTCTCTGCTAGCTTGTGGCCATTATTTCTTGTAACCCCCGGGGGGCGCCTTGGTGAATAAAAACTCACCAATTCCCTTCTGTGCCCCCGTGACGAACTTATAGGCAGCCACAAGGTCGCCTCTCAACCTTCTCTTGTGGAGGCTGAAAAGGTCCAGTTTCTCTAGTCTCTCCTCGTAGGGCTTGGTCTGCAGGCCCTTAACCATATGAGTGGCCCTTCTCTGGACCCTCTCCAGGTTATCCGCATCCCTCTTGAAGTGCGGCGCCCAGAATTGCACGCAGTACTCCAACTGTGGTCTGACCAGCGCCTGATAGGGGGGAAGTATCACCTCCTTGGATCTATTTGTCATGCATCTGCTGATGCACGATAAAGTGCCATTGGCTTTTCTGATGGCTTCGTCACACTGCCGACTCATGTTCATCTTGGAGTCCACTGGGACTCCAAGATCCCTTTCTGCTTCCGTGCCACCCAGCAGGTCATTCCCTAGGCTGTAGGTGTGCTGGACATTTTTCCTCCCTAGGTGCAGCACTTTACATTTCCCCATAGCTTTGTGTCATCTGCAAACTTGGACAGAGTACATTTCACTCCCTCGTCCAAGTCGCTGATGAAGACATTAAAGAGTATCGGTCCAAGGACCGAGCCCTGCAGGACCCCACTGCCCACACCCTTCCAGGTCGAAACCGACCCATCCACCACGACTCTCTGGGTGCGACCCTCTAGCCAATTCGCCACCCACCGGACTGTGTAGTCATCCAAGTCACAGCCTCTTAACTTGTTCACCAGTATGGGGTGGGATACCGTATCAAAGGCCTTCCTGAAGTCTAAGTATACGACATCCACCCCTCCTCCTGTGTCCAGGCATTTCGTAACCTGGTCATAAAAAGAGACTAGATTAGTCAGGCGTGATCTACCTGCTACGAACCCGTGCTGGTTTCCCCTCAGCATAATTTGTCCTGCCGGGCTCTCTCAAATGTGAGCCTTGATAATTTTTTCAAAGATTTTGCCAAGGATGGAGGTGAGACTGACTGGCCTATAGTTGCCCGGGTCCTCCTTCCTCCCCTTCTTGAAAATGGGGACTACATTGGCCCTTTTCCAGTCCTCCGGGACTTGGCCCGTGCGCCACGAGCATTCAAATATTCCCGCCAGTGGCTCTGCAATGATGTCGGCCAGTGCCTTCAGCACCCTCGGATGGAGCTCATCCAGGCCTGCCGACTTAAAGGCATCCAGTTCTTCCAATCTTCAAAGGCAGCTAGGGGAATTAGTCCCCAAGTCCCACTGAAATTAACAGGATTTCTGTAAACTAAATAAGCTTGCTGACTCGGAAATAAATCTCAACTGTTGCCTGTAATCTTGAATTTACAATATAAGAATAGACAGGATGATCATGATGGGGAGGAGGGGGGAAGGGAGAGGCCTTTACAGGTTACAAGATCATGCAATCATTTGCTTTGTGAGTTAGCCGTCTACTTGGTTGCTTACATTACTTAGCCTTCTCTGCCACTCTGGCATTTGAAAGAGACAACGGCACAGGGGCAGAGGAACTAGATGGTGTAATGGAATCAATTCATGCAGTCTAACATGTGGGAAGTCAAAAACTGTAAAGGTTTCACACTTTCACCTTTGCAGATTTTAGCCTGCTGTGCATGTGCAAGATACTAAGTCTCAGACTACATCCTTGTTCATAAACACACAGACCTGGCTACTCAAATCAAACAAAATGGCACCTGGAAATAGCTTGAAGTAGGTACAGTCAAATGAATCACATTGAGAAAGTTAGACTTATAACTTACATTTTTACATTAGCCTTAATTTCTCAGATGAGCCCAGGATGCTTAAAAGGCTGTGTCTTTGGGCTGCAGGCTCGTTCTTTGTAGTTTTCAGAGCTGTGTATGCTTGCCTCAGGGAGCCAATTATAAGGCAGAAATAAAGCAAGATCTGATTTTCACACAATATTTCCATCATTCTGGACTTGAATAGCTTCAGAAGAGCAAACCTCATGTTATTTCTGCCTGATAAATGCTTCTCAGAGACATTAAAAATGCCAGTTAAAAATATACATGCGCATACACACCTTCAAATATTTCCTGAAGTTTAATTCACATTTAGTATTGCTAATGGACCCATGAGTCTCATTTATGTGGGTCAAGACTGCAAAGACTTTCATCAGCTAAAATATACCTGTGGTGTTGATTAGAGTCTACTACCATCTCATATAAGAAAAAAAGTCTTTATAGGTTAAGAGCTTTCTTTTATTCATTATAAAATCTTTCTGTGAACTAAGCCAATGGATATTAGTTCTGTGATATTATGCCACTTGGACATCACATATTCTCCAGTTAATGAATGAAAATCCTAGGGGAATAACTCCTATCCACAATACTAAACCAGATCCTGATGACTGCTACAATAAATGTCAGAAGAATTAGGACAAGATTTAAGTCAATATAGTCAATGTAACTTGCAAGCCATCCTTTTCAGTTTTAAAAGTGGGCTTTTTCCCAAATGGGCAAATGTTCACATTTCACCTTTTTCTCTCAGCAGCCTGTTCCTAAGAAAAAGACAGTGCACAATCTTGTCTTATATAATCATGTTCCCAAGACTAAAAGGTTTTGTTCAATGGACCTAAGAGGGAGAATGTTGTTTCCCTTTAAGCGCCTAGCCCCTGACCTTCAGAGACTTCTTAGTTTCTTATAAGTTTAGACTAAATGATGTATGATGTTGCATGTCAATGTTCAAGATAAATAATTCTATCTTCTTCAATTAAGGTGGCTTCATAGCCAAAGTATTATAAATTACTACATAATTATGAAAATGCTGGCCTTTCACCATTAGGCCATTAAGATGCAGAAGAAAGATCCCAAAAGATTCCTTAGTAGACCATCGATACAACTAGGTAGCAATAACTCTAACAAATATACTGAGTGCAGTAATTATATGGGTATTTCTAGACCACAGGACACCTAACAGTTCCAGGTAGGGTGGATGTTTCTGACACCACATGCAGTATGAACCTATGATGTTCTGTATCTGTAAACTAAGGTAGTAGTTAAAAGGGCCTAAGGTAGTGGGTAATTAAAGGAAAACCATCCTCTCACCAGCCAGAGG